CTAATGAGAAATTCTGAATAAATAAGCATTTTAAAAAACAATATTTAATTTTTATGTTTTAAATATATGGTACTATTATACAACATGAAACTGCTTTAATCCAACTTTAGAAGAATAACTTTAAATTGGTAAACAAAGAAAAATATACATATTTTGCGGATTAGGGCTGGAGCCTCTGATATATAAAAAACGAACATTTGGGCCGGGCACGGTGGCTCACGCCTGTAATCCCAGCACTTTGGGAGGCCAAGGTGGGTGGATCACGAGGTCAAGAGATGGAGACCATCCTGGTCAACATGGTGAAACCCTGTCTCTACTAAAAATACAAACATTAGCTGGGCGTGGTGGCGCACACCTGTAATCCCAGCTACTCGGGAGGCTGAGGCAGGAGAATTGCTTGAACCCAGGAGGCGAAGGTTGCGGTGAGCCGAGATTGCGCCATTGCACTCCAGCCTGGGTAACAAGAGTGAGACTCCGTCTCAAAAAAAAAAAAAACATTTGGGAAAAATTATGTTACTATTTAAACATAGGTTGAAGAAAGTGGGTGAAAATCTTATAATTCTTCTTTGCCTGTAGCAAACTTAAATTTATAAGTAACTGTTTGAGTAAATATGGAGTGCCTACTAATTATCTCATTTTCCTCAGGTATAGTATGTAAATTCTAGCACATTGTCCTAAATTTCTGAATCAAAAATTACAGAATAATTTCCAATGGAAAATAGAAAGTAAAAATGTATGGGGAGAGTGACATCAGCAAGATGAAAACATAAAAGGTACTTTACTTTTATATGCCCCAACAGCAAGGAAATGTTTCAGCCATTCCTGACAAAAATGCCTTTATGAGAGAGCCAGGCATGATGGCTCACATCTGTCATGACAGCTACATGGTACATTAAGGCTGAAAAATTGTTTCAGGCCAGGATTTCGAGACCAGCCTGGGTTATATAACAAGTCCCCATCTCCAAAGTAAGTGCCTTCAAGAGAGCTTTGAGATCTAGGAAGGGAGTAAGGAAACTGCTAAAGCCCCCAATTTAAAAAAAAATTTTTTTTTTTTTAGTTTTTCTCTTTAAAGTCCAAAATTAAGGCGTGTTCTTTTCAAAAGCCAGGCCCTCATTCGGGTGGCAAACTATAGGACCCCTGTTCTTGGCTACAGGTAAGAAAATAGCCCACCCAACTTGGTTCCTCTGAGAATTCATGTATTTTTTAGACCAAGTCTTGTTCTGCCACTCAGGCTGGAGTGCAGTGGGGTGACCTTGGCTCACTGCAACCTCTCCCTCTGTGTTTCAACCCATTCTCCTGCCTCAGCTTCCCAAGTAGCTGGGACTATAGGCATGCACCACCACGCCCAGCTAATTTTTGTATTTTTGTAGAGATGCGGTTTTGCCATGTTGGCCAGGCTGCTCTCGAACTCCTGATCTCAGGTGATCCACCTGCCTGGGCCTCCTGTGGTGACTCATGCCTGGGATTATACCACCCCTGGCCCCCACTAGGAATTCTGAACTTCCTCTGTAATCATCCCAAACTCCTCCCAGGTACAGTCTGGGAGAGGTCCTGCTCTTTCAGAGGCCTGAAGGGAGACACCCATTTACAGCCATGCAGACAGGCCTGAAGACCTTGGCCTTCACTGTGGTCCCTGAAACAGTTCAATGACTCAGTTCCAGTTCCATGGGCCACAGTTCACAGGCGTTCTGCCTACATAGAAACCTAAACAGTGACCTGTAGAAATCCTCTTTGGTACTCAGTGAAAGCCATACTCATCCACATCCTCACATAAGGCCTGCCATATGAAGACCCGAATCAGGAACCTGCCCTAGTGTCTGCTCTACAAAGCAAAATTCTGAAGAACATTCAGTCTGTTTAAAAATAAAATGGGGCCCGGGTGTGGTGGCTCATGCCTCTAATCCCAGCACTTTGGGAGGCCGAGGCAGACGGATCATGAGGTCAGGAGATTGAGACCATCCTGACCAACACAGTAAAACCTCTTCTTTAAAAGTAAATTTTTAAAAGAATTAAAGTAAAATAAAATGGGAGACTGAGTGCAACAGCTCACTCCTGTAATCTCAGCACTTTGGGAGGCCAAGGTGGGTGGATCACCTGAGGTCAGGAGCTTGAGCCTGACCAACATGGTAAAACCCTGTCTCTACTAAAAATACAAAATTAAAAAGGCCTGATGACACATGCATGTAATCCCAGCTATTGAGAGGCTGAGGCAGGAGAATTGCTTGAACCCGGAAGGCAAAGGTTGAAGTTAGCCGAGATTGTGCCAGCCTGAGCAACAACAGCAAAACTCCATCTCAAAAGACAGATAAAATAGAATAAAATAAAATGGGCGTTACAGCTATCCAAGCCCCCTATAACCAGCCAACTAAAGGTGGACCCTACCACAGACCCTGCAGCCTTGTGACCAAGCTACAACCCCTCTCCAATACAAAACCAGTGGACATCTCACTACCCTGGGGGCCCAGAAAGGAAGATATTTACCTTCTGAAACCAGTTTATAAAAACTTGAAGAGGTGTTTGCTTTTTCAAATTGACAGACACCAGTTGCAAACTATATTGTGCCCACTGGCAATACTTCTCTTTTAACCTAACACTGAAAGTATGTAGCAGAAGAATTAGTCAAAAATAAAAAAGCCATTGAGGGGGTCCAAAGTGGCTCCCGCCGGAGGTCATGGCGCTCGCGAAGGCGAGGTCATCAGTTCAAGGCTAACCTGAGCAACCTCATAAGCTCAAACTGATTGGCAAAAAAAAAAGCCATTGAAATTGAAGACAAGCCGGGCACAGTGGCTCATGCCTGTAATCCCAGCACTTTGGGAGGCCAAGGCGGGCGGACCACGAGGTCAGAAGTTCGAGATCAGCCTGGCCAACATGGTGAAACCCGATCTCTATAATAATAATAGTAATAATAATAATAATAATAATAATAATTTATTTCTGAAAACAAATCCACCCAAGAAAGTAAAAAACAATTTTTTTTTTTGAGATGGAGTTACAGGCATCCACCATTACATCTGGCTAATTTTGTATTTTGAATAGAGACGGGGTTTCTTCATGTTGGTCAGGCTGGTCACGAACTCCTGACCTTAGGTGTTCTGCCTGCCTCGGCCTCCCAAAGTGCTGTGATTACAGGTGTGAGCCACTGCACCTGGCCAAAAAAATCTTTACAATAAAAGGTATAGGATTTCAATAGAAGAAATTAGAGAAGACACAAGTGAGTTTTAAAATATTTTGTACCTATGGATTTAAATAAATATTGTTAAAGTGCCATGTTATCCATAGTAATTTACGGATTCAACTACCAACATTCCTGTGCCTTTTTTTTTTAACAGTAATAGAAAATACAATCCCTAATTTTACATGAAACTACAATAAATCTTTTTTTTTTTTTTTGAGATAGAGTTTCACTCTTGTTGCCTAGGCTAGAGTGCACTGATGTGATCTTGGCTCACTTTAATCCCTACACCTGGATTTAAGCGATTCTCCTGCCTCAACCTCCTGAGTAGCTGGGATTATAGGCATGCACCACCGCACTTGGTATTTTTAGTTTTTTCTTCTTGTTGTTAGTAGCAACAGCATTTTGTACTTTTAGTAGAAACAGGGTTTTGCCATGTTGGTCAGGCTGTCTTGAACTCCTGACCTCAGGTGATCTACCTGCCTCAACTTTTGAAAGTGCTGGGATTACAAGGCATGAGGCACCGTGCCCGGCCCAATAATCTTTTTAAGAAACAGGGTCTCCAGCCGGGCACGGTGGCTCAAGCCTGTAATCCCAGCACTTTGGGAGGCCGAGGCAAGTGGATCACGAGGTCGAGAGATCGAGACCAACCTGGTCAACATGGTGAAACCCCGTCTCTACTAAAAATACAAAAAATTAGCTGGGCGTGGTGGCGCATGCCTGTAATCCCAGCTACTCGGGAGGCTGAGGCAGGAGAATTGCCTAAACCCAGGAGGCGGAGGTTGCGGTGAGCCGAGATCGCGCCATTGCACTCCAGCCTGGGTAACAAGAGCGAAACTCTGTCTCGAAAAAAAAAAAACGAAAGAAACAGGGTCTCCTTATGTTGCCTAGGCTGGTATCAAACTCCTGGGCTCAAGGGGTTCTTTTGCCTCGGCCTCCCAAAGTGATAGGATTACAGGTGTGAGCCACTGTACCCAGCCAAAACTACAATCAACTTTGAATAGTCAAAGCAATCTTAAGCAATAAAAACAAAGCAGAACATCATACTTTATAATTTAAAGCTATATTTCAAGCCTATAGTAATACAAACAGAATGAAATGTGCAGAAAAATAAAAAACCAATGGAACAGAAACCACAAATGTTACACATTTTAAACGTAATGCAAAAAATAATTTACACAATGGTTTAACAAGAGTTTCTCAAAATTATGCAATATTTCTGAGTCTCCAAAAACAATGGGGAAAAAAGTCAGATTGTACAGTCTCTTATATGCCATAAAGAGGACTTTAGCTCACTGTAAACTTGAAGATCACTGAAGAAAACTAAAATGTTTTATTTTTATTTTTTTTGAGATGGAGCTTTGCTTTTGTTGCCCAGGCTGGAGTGCAATGGTGCAATCTTAGCTCACCACAACCCCCGCCTCCCAGGTTCAAGTAATTCTTGTGTCTCAGCCTCCTGAGTAACTAGGATTACAGGCAGGTGCCACCATGCCTGGCTAATTTTGTATTTTTAGTAGAGACAGGATTTCTTCATGTTGGTCAGGTTGGTCTTGAACTCCTGACCTCAGGTGATCTGCCCACCTTGGCCTCCCAAAGTGCTGGGATTACAGGTGTGAGCCAATGCACCTGGCCGTAAAGTAGAATTTTCAAAGAATTTAAAAGCATAAGACAGAAGGTATTTCTATGCTGAAGTCAAACAAACAAAAAAACAGCTGCCTAGAAACTGTTTCTTTGAAACACAAATTTCCAAGTTACATTTTAAGACTGGCTTTCTTTTTCACCTCTAGAGCTCTCATCTGTGTCATGTGTTGTATTCACTCTCACCTACCTGGGGGTTTGGCCACCATCTCATGTCTCTTCATATTCCAGGGCTCTTTTCCTTGCTCCAGACAGGTGATCAGGTCTAAATTAGACACAGCAATACCTGTTTTATTAAAAATAAATAACATGAATCTTGCTCATATTCTCCAATTACCAACCGAGTAATTTTCTCAGTCAAGAAAATGTAGGCCAGGTTCAGTGGCTCATGCCAGTAATCCCAGCACTTTGAGAGAGTGAGGTGGGTAGATCACCTGAGGTCAGGAGTTCGAGACCAGACTTGTCAACATGGCAAAACCCCATCTCTACTGAAAATACAGAAATTAACTGGGCATGGTGGTGCACACCTGTAGTCCTAGCTGTTTGGGAGGCTGAGGCAGGAGAATCGTTAGAACCCGGGAGGCAGAGGTTGCAGTGAGCTGAGATTGAATCACTGTATCCAGCCTGGGTGACAGAGCAAAGCTCCATTTCAGAAAAAATATTTTTTAAAAAGGATGTAAAAGAATATTCTAGCAAATTAATCACAGAATACTAACTTATAAACATAAATTTTAAATATTAAGAAAATATTTTCAGGGCCGGGTGCAGTGGCTCAAGCCTGTAATCCCAGCACTTTGGGAGGCTGAGGTGAGTGGATCACGAGGTCGAGAGATGGAGACCATCCTGGTCAACATGGCGAAACCCCGTCTCTACTAAAAATACAAAAAAATTAGCTGGACATGGTGGGGCGTGCCTGTAATCCCAGCTACTCAGGAGGCTGAGGCAGGAGAATTGCCTGAACCCAGGAGGCAGAGGTTGCAGTGAGCCGAGATCGCGCCATTGCACTCCAGCCTGGGTAACAAGAGAGAAACTCCATCTCACACACACACACACACACACACACACACACACACAAAATATATATATATATATATATATATATATGTTTTCAATTTGTATGTTCTTAATTTCACTATCCAGTGCTACTGAATCAAAAATTGATGGTGGCAATTAGATTTTTTTTTGTTTTTTAGACAAAGTCTCACTCTGTCACCTAGGCTGGAGTGCAGTGGCATGATCTTGGCTCACTGCAACCTCTACCTCCCATGTTCAGGTAATTCTTCTGTCTCAGCCTCCTGAGTAGCTGGGATTACAGGCATGTGCCACCATGCCCAGCTAATTTTTGTATTTTTAGTAGAGACAGGGTTTCACCATGTTGGTCAAGCTGGTCTCGAACTCCGCCCATCAGCCTCCCAAAGTGCTGGGATTATAGGTGTGAGCCACTGCACCCGGTCATAGCAATTGGATTTTAAGGTGTGGGCAACAGCATTTTCTGCCACTAAATTTCTGGAACTATCAATAATCTAGAATGAAGAATAGAGATCAGCTCAGAAATGTGGCAAGTTCAGGTCAGGATGAAACATCTACAGAGACAAATCTTAGATTTTCTTAAAAACAGGTCTATGAAACTCATTGATGTAAAGCATAAATTGCCAAAATACATGCAACAGAAAAGAGAAATAAAACCTTTAGAGTATATTAGGAATTGTGTATTAAAGTTATCCTTACCCAGGAAGACAAAGTTTCTGTAGTTTTCTAACATCACATTTCTATATAAATTCTGCTGTGCTGTGTCCAGGCATTGCCACTCCTCCAGAGAGAATTCTATGGCCACATCCATAAATGTCAATGGTCCCTGAAAAACATATAACACATATTTACCAAGTGTTTATGGACAGAATTTTTAATTTGACTCAAGGTGAAATGAGAGTAAAGAGATCTTGTTTTGACTTATAGAAGTGACTAAAATTATCCAATAAAATAATATTCAACACAGAAATATTCTCTAATGTATTCTCTAACTGAGAAAAGAGTAGTATAAGATCCACAACATCAGTGTATATATGTTATTTTTCTGGATGATAAAATATAAACTGAAGGGCATGAACACAACATGTACATTTTTGATTGTTACATGTACATCATGCAGGATGACTTGTGTATATTTTTCAGATGGAAAAGACAGATTGAGTTGGAAAGAGCCTTTCAAAATTTAATTATGATAAACTGGAGATCTTGTTAATGGAGATTATTTTTTCAGGAAGATCTGGAGTGTTATGGCTCAATCTCGAATCATGAAACCTCCTCCTCATGGGTTCAAGCTATTCTCCAGCCTCAGCCTCCCAAGCAGCTGGGCTTACAGGCATGCACCACCACGCCCAGCTCATTTTGTATTTTTAGTAAAGATGGGGTTTCTCCATGTTGGCCAGGCTGGTCTGAAGCTCCTGAGCTCAGGTGATCCACCCATCTTGGCTTCCCAAAGTGATTGGATTGCAGGCACGAGCCACTGCACCCAGCCCAGTTTTTGAATTTCTAACAAGCTCACCAATAATGCCAATTATTTTGGCCCAGAAAGAATATTTTGTGAAACATCCAGTAAGTACAAAGCCCTGTTTTTGTTTTTTTTCTCCAGTTTTTCTCACCTATAAACAAAGATAAGAGCTTTCATTTTCCAAAGACATATATATATATACTAAGAAAACCTAAGAAAAAAAGCAGCTGCCCCACATTAGCTGCATAAAGATACTTAATAATGAGGCCAGGCATGGTGGCTCACACCTGTAATTCCAGCACTTTGGGAGGTTGAGGTGGGCAGATCACCTGAGGCTGGGAAGTCAAGGCCAGCCTGACCAGAGAAACCTCGTGTCTACTAAAAATAAAAAATTAGCCAGATGTGGTGGTGCATGCCTGTAATCCCAGCTACTCAGGAGGCTGAGGCAGGAGAATCACTTGAACCAACCAGGCAGAGGTTGTGGTGAGCTGGGATCATGACACTGCACTCCAGCCTGGGCAACAAGGGCAAAAACTCTGTCTCAAAAATAAATAAATAGGCCACAAGCAGTGGCTCATGCCTGTAATCCCAACACTTTGGGAAGTCAAGGCAGGTGGATCATGAGGTCAAGAGTTCGAGACCAGACTGGTCAACATGGTGAAACCCCGTCTCTACTAAAAATACAAATATTAGCTGAGTGTAATGGTGGCACCTATAATCCCAGATACTTGGAAGACTGAGGCAGGAGAATCGCTTAAACCCAGGAGGTGGAGGTTGCAGTGAGCCAAGATATGCCACTGAACTACAGCCTGGGCAACAGAGTGAGACTTAGCCTCAAAATAAATAAATAAATAAGATACTTAATAATGAACAGAAAAATAATTAACTCTATAGTATAAAAGTCTTTCAGGGAGCTCTTTAACTAAATGAATTTTTTTTCTTTTTTGTCAGTAATTTCAGGATACCAAGTGAATTATTAACACCAACTGCACTAGGACAAATTTTTATGATATGCTAATGCATAACACAGAGCACCACTACTAGAGTATTACCCCTGAAAGTAAATTATAGTCTAAATTTAACCATAAAGAAAATATCAGTTCTATGCAAAGTTCAAGATACAGATATCTCTCATGTTTGCAATTTTCAATAGTGATTTTAGGTAGTCTTCCTTTAGCACTCTAGCAAACAGGTATCTCCTAATAATGTTGTTCAGAACTTTCTGGGTAATAAATGCTATTCTGTTCAAGTAAGTGGTTCCTTTCCCTTCCTTTCTTTTCCTTTCTTTTCTTTTCTCTCTTCTCTTCTCTTCTTTTTTCTTTTCTTTTCTTTTCTTTTGAGATGGAGTCTTGCTCTGTTGCCCAGGCTGGAGTACTGTGATACAATCTTGGCTCACTGCAACCTCCACCTCCTACGTTCAAAAAATTCTCCTGCCTCAGCCTTCTGAATAGCTGGCATTCCAGGAACATGCAATAATGCCTGGCTAATTTTTAAAATATTTTTAGTAGAGACAGGGTTTCACCATGTTGGCCAGGCTAGTCTTGAACTCCTGACCTCAAGTGATCTGCCTGCCTTGGCCTCCCAAATTGCTGGAATTACAGGCATGAACCACCACACCCAGTCATATACGTGTTTTCTTAAGCCTGTTCTGCATAGAGCTGATGGAGAACACAAATAAAACCTCAACATTACATGTTCTGTATCTCTATTAAGAACCCCAGCTTTCCCCCAATAGAAATCTTGAGTGTCCACACCATTTCATGTTCAACAGCCACAAAAAGAACATTTTCAATATTGCAGATCACAAATTTATGGTGATGGGGTTTCTGCATGACATATAAGAATATTAGATGTAGAGAATGTAGAGAAGGCTCTGGTCTATACAAAAGAAATACTTTGGCTAGGCAAAGTGGTTCACACCTGTAATCCTAGCACTTTGGGAGGCTGAGGTGGGTGCATCATGAAATCAGGAGTTTGAGACCAGCCTGACCAACATGGTGAAACCTTGTATCACAAAATTAGCTGGGTGTGGTGGGATGCACCTGTAATCCCAGCTACTCAGAAGGCTGAGGCAGGAGAATTGCTTGAACCTGGGACACAGAGGTTACAGTGAGCCAATATGGCACTACTGCACACCAACTTGGGCCAAAAAGCAAGACTCCACCTTTAAAACATTTTTTTTAAAAGAGGGGGTTTCCAGGAGGCGGAGGTTGCAGTGGGCTGAGATTGCACCATTGCACTCCAGCCTGGGTAACAAGAATAAAACTCCATCTCAAAAAAAAAAAAAAAAAAGATGGGGTTTCACCATGATGGCCAGGCTGGTCTTGAACTCCTGACCTCAAGTGATCCACCCACCTCGGCCTCCCAAAGTGCTAGGATTACAGGCGTGAGCCACCACGCCCGGCCAAGACTCCATCTTAAAAAAAAAATTTGCAGAGACCCTTGGCTATCATCTTTTTAGTAGTTAAAAAAAATTATTATGGAGAAAAAAACACATGTAGAAAAGTACAGGCTTGCAAGTGCAAAATGCATGGCATTCCAGGGGACAGAATGAACATAGGTCCTGATCTGAGACATGGTTAGCTTAAAAAAGTCATTCTTGGCCAGGCATGGAGGTTCACGCCTATAATCCCAGCACTTTGGGAGGCCGAGGCAGGCAGATCAAGGTCAGGAGTTCCAGACAGCCTGGTCAACATGGTGAAACCCTGTCTCTACTAAAAATACAAAAATTAGACAGGCATGTTGGTGTGTGCCTGTGGTCCCAGCTACTCTGGAGGCTGAGGCAGGAGAATTTCTAGAACCCAGGAGGCAGAGGTTGCGGTGAGCCGAGATCACACCACTGCACTCCAGCCTCGACAAAGAAGCGAGACTTCATCTGGTAGGGGGGAAGTCATTCTTTTTTCTTTTCCTCCTTCTCTGAGATTTCTCCTCAGATGACATCCTCTGGACAAATGACACCTGCTTCTTGAGACCAGGCCTTTAAAGTGCCAGCATCACCTGTTTAACTGATGCCACCACATCCACAAGCAAAAAACCAAGACCTGAAGAAAAAGTCCACCCATTTCTGTTCTTTGCAACAGAGGAGACACAGGAAAATACATGCTGCTCCATGGAAATAAAAATATAAGTTCCACTTTTTCTGTCCTCAGGTGCGCTTCCCTTACATAAACACCAACAATTTCTGCTACAGTAATGAAAATATGGGCCACACTGCCCTCTTCCTACTAAACTCAAAAAGAACAGCCCTGTGGCCACCCTTTAGTGCAAAAGTGAGACTTAACTCTCATGATGTATCTGGAACCCCTCATACTCAATTCTAGCCTCATAAAATCATATGAGGCACTTAATTAAAACAACATAAGGCCAGGTGTGGTGGCTCAACCCTGTAATCCCAGCACTTTGGGAGGCTGAGGTGGGCAGATCTCCCGAGGTCAGAACTTCAAAACCAGCTTGGCCAACATGGTGAAACCCTGTCTGTACTAAAAATACAAAAATTATCTGGGTGTGATGGTACTCGCTTGTAATCCCAGCTACTTGGGAGGCTGAGGCAGAACTGCTTGAACCTGGGAGGCAAAAGTTGCAGGGAGCTGAGACTGCGCCACTGCACTCCAGCCTGGCAACAGAGCAAGAATTTGTTTCAAAAAAAAAAAAAATTAGTCAGGCATGGTGGCATGCACCAGTAATTCCACTACTTGGGAGGCTGAGGTAGAAGATTTAATTGGTTGAACCCGGGAGGCAGAGGTTGCAATGAGCTGATATCAAGCCACTGCACTTCAGCCTGGGTGACAGGGTGAGACTTCATCTCAAAGCAAACAAACAAAATATGGATGTGTCTACCCAGAACAACAAACAGAACCTGTGGGGAGGGGACAAGTACAGAGATTTCTGTAAATTGGCTATGTGATCCTAATGACAAGCCTGGGCTGATAACCACTTAGCTAAGCATTGCCTCTCAAGCTTTAGTGAGCTTAAAATTCACTTGGTAATTTTGGACCCACTCTATGTAATGGGATTCTGCAGGTCTGGAAAAGATCCATGATGAATGTTTTAAACAAGTCTCTTGTCAATGCTGATGCTCCTCCCCCTGGGCTCAGTATTGGCAGTAGAGAAGCAGGCACAGCACAGGGTCCTTTACATTCAGCACTCTTGTCCCAACACAAATACTTCTGGTACAAATGAAGACAACCCATCTTTATCCTAAAGTTTCATATTCTTTGCTGGCTCTTTAAAGTTTACAAAGGAAACAGAGGCAGCAATGTCTGAATAAATCTGCATTTGGAAAATAACATGTACTACTGCAAGCTTTATCAAGCAGGTACTATGTGCTCTCAAGAGTCTGTTACAGGCCAGGCATGGTGGCTCGT